GCTGGAAAGACAAGAAAAAATGAATCCCAAACCCAACAGAAGAGAAGAAATAACAAAAAACAAAGCAGAAATCAATGAAATAGAAACAAAGAAAACAATACAAAGAATCAATGAATCTAAGACCTGATTCTTTGAATAGCTAAATAAGATAGACAGGCCCTTAGCCAAGTTTTAACTAAAATAAAGAAAGAGCAAATCCAAATCAACAAAATCAGAGATGAAAGGGGAAACATCACAACAGACACCCAAAAGATCCAAAACATTATAAGGGAATACTTTAAAAACCTATACACTATTAAATTTGATAACCTAAAAGAAATGGATGGCTATCTAAAATCATGGGAAGCACCAAAGTTAAACCAAGAAGAGATCAGCAGTTTAAACAGACCCATAACATATAAGGAAATTGAAACAGTAATACAAAACCTCCTGACTATAAAAAGCCCAGGACCAGATGGATTTACAGCAGAAGTCTACCAGACATTTAAAGAAGACCTCCAACCAATACTACTTAAATTATTCAAAACAATAGAAATGGAGGGAGAACTCCTAAATTCCTTCTATGAAGCTACCATCACTCTAATACCCAAACTAGGTAAAGCCACAACCAAAAAGAAAACTGTAGGCCCATATCCTTAATGAACATAGAAGCAAAAATTCTCAACAAAATACTTGCAAACTGCATACAAATCCACATCAAAAAGATCATTTACGCTGGGCATGGTGGCGCACACCTTTAATCCCAGCACTTGGGAGGCAGAGGCAGGCGGATCTCTGTGAGTTCAAGGATAGTCTGGTCTCCATAGTGAATCCAAGCCACCTGTGACTGGTCTCAAAAAAAGAAAAAAAAAGTCATTCACCATGATCAAGTAGGCTTTATTCCATAGATTCAGGGATGATTCAATATGCACAAATCAATAAACATGATAAGTCATATAAATGGACTCAAAGACAAAAACCATATAGTCATCTCAATAAATGCAGAAAGGGCTTTTCACAAAATTCATCATGCATTCATGATAAAAGTTCTAAAGGGAACTGAACTGAAGGGAACATACCTCAACATAATTAAAGCTATATACAACAATCTCACAGCCAACATCATTCTAAATGGAAAAAAACTGGAAGCATTCTCATGAAAAGTAGGAACCAGAAAAGGATGTCCACTATCTCCACTCCTTTTCAATATAGTCCTTGAAACTTCTGCTAGAATAAGACAAGAGAAGGAAATTAAAGAAGTACTAGTTGGAAAAGAAGAGGTCAATTTTTTTTTCAGATTATACAATACTATACCTAAGAAATCCCAAAAATTTCACCAGTGAACAACACTTTCAGTAAAGTGGCAACTTACAAAATTAATTTACAAAAATCAGTAGCCTTTCTGTATACCAATAACAAACAGAAAAAGAGTACAGGGAAACCCTCCTACTCACAATAGCCTCAAAAAAATAGGAATAAACGTGAACAAAGACATCAAAGATCTCTACAACAAAAAATTTAAACCTTTAAAGAAAAGATTGAGGGAGACACCAGAAAATGGAAGGACCTCCCATACTCATGGATTGGAACAATTAATATTGTGAAAATGACCATCTTACCAAAAGCAATATATAGATTCAATGCAATCCCAATCGAAATCCCCATGACATACTTCACATAATTAGAAAAAACAACCCTTAAATTCATATGGAAGCACAAAAGACCCTGAGTAGACAAAGCAACACTGAGCACAAAGAGCAATGCTTGGGGGATTACTACACTAGATGTTAAACTATACTATAGAACTATAGTCATAAAAACAGCATGATACTGGCACAAAAATAGACACATAGATCAATGTAACATAATTTAAGATCCAAACCTGGGTACACACAGTTTCAGACACATGATGTTTGACAAAGTTGCCAAGAACACACAATGGCAGAAAGATAGCATCTTCAACAAATGGTCCTGGCAAAACTGGATCTCCACATGTAGAAGAATGAAACTAGATCCTTATCTTTCACCTTGCAGAAAAGTCAACTCCAAATGGATCAAAGACCTCAACGTGAAATTAGAAATTCTGAAACTATTAGAAGAAAACATTGGCAGTAACCTACAAGATACAAGTGGAGGAAAGGACTTTCTAAATCGACACCAGTTGCTCAGGAATTAAGGTAAAAAACCAACAAGTGGGACCTCATTAAACTAAAAAGCTTCTGTACAGCAAAAGAAACAATCAAGAAAGTGAAGAGAAAATCCAGAGTGGGGAAAAAATCTTCACCAGTAACACATCTGACAGAGGTTTAATATCCAGAATATATAAAGAACTCAAAAAACAAAGAACCAAGAACACAAACAACCCAATTAAAAGATGGGCTAAACATCTAAACAGATAATTCTTAAAGGAAGAATAAAGATGGCTAACTAAGAAATACCTTAAAAAGTGTTCAACATCATTAGTAATTAGGGAAATGAAAATTAAAACCACCTTAAGAGTTAATCTTACCCCAGTCAGACTGGCTAAGATCACGAGAACAAATGATGCCAAATGCTAGGGAGGATGTGGAGAAAGGGGAACGCTCATTCACTGCTGGTGGGATTGCAAACTTGTGTAACCCCTATGGAAAACACTGTGGAGAACTATTTAAAAAACTAAAAATGGGCCAGGTGTGGTGACGCACACCTTTAATCCCAGCACTCGGGAGGCAGAGGCAGGCAGATCTCTGTGAGTTCGAGGCCAGCCTGGTCTCCATAGTGAATCCAGGCCAGCTAGGAAGACCCTGTCTCAAAAAGACCAAAAAAAAAAAAACCTAAAAATGAACCTACCATATACCACTCCTTGGAATATACCCAAAGGACCTATCCTATTGCAGAGATATTTTTACAACCAGGTTTGTTGCTTCTCTTTTTACAATAGCTAAGAGATGGAAGCAACCTAAGTGCCCCTCAATGAAAATGTGGTATATTTATACAATAGAGTCCTACTCAGCAGTTAAGAAAGATGAAATAATGAAATTTGCAGGAAATGGATGGATCTAGAAACTTATACTAAGTAACACAGACTCAGAAAAACAAAAGATGTATATTCTCCCTCATTTGTGGATCCTAGCACCAAATCCTCATAAGGGAGTGCATATCCTGATGTTACTGCAGGAACCAGGAATATGGAAAGGAACCAGGGAGGTAAAGGGAAAGAAGGAATCCGAGAGAGAATAATAGTAAGAGAAAGGCATTACTAAGGGAGAAATATGTAAAAAGTGGGCAGTTACAGAGGAGTGGGGAAGGAGGGCTATACAAAGAACTATGGGAAGAAAGGGGAAGGAGCTCAAAAGAGGTGGGACCATAGTATACAGAAACTATCAAAGGAGAAAGGGGGAAAATGGGAACACTTTAAATGGGGAGGGTGGGGAAGGAGGATAAGACAGGGAGAGAAAAGAGATAAATAGTGCCTAGCTAGTATAAAAAACACAGGGGGGGGGGTTGGGGATTTAGCTCTGTGCTAGAGCGCTTGCCTGGGTTCAGTCCTCAGCGCCCCCCCCCAAAAAAAAGACAAAAATAAAAAACAGAGGGAATTGTGTTAGTTCAGAAACCTACTGAAAAATTATACATACACTATCTCTACATGAGTACCTGACTATAGCTGAAGCTACATAGCAGGAAACAGTGCCAGACAGGAGAAACCTTCCTTTGAGTCGTTGGCCAGGGTAGTCCAAGAGACTCCCAAAATTTCACAGGCTATTGCCACAGTCCTTGATTGCCTCCCAGAACTTGATGGTAAGACCCCATTGCTGAAAACAGGACATACTTTGGACAGGATATGGAGCAATGGAGCTGGAACTGACCTGGAAGCCACCTCCTCTGAAGGCTAGCTATCATAGCTTTGGAGAGCATTGCCGAAGCTGCTAAGGGACAACATCAATCGATGGTCCGACCCTACCTTCAAGGCCTTAAAACCACATCAATGACCAAGATAGCAAAGAACATTGGTACAGTAGTGGCACTTTTATCTCAGGGGTAATCAACAGCTGCTTAATTGGATTTAAAGCCCACTCAATGAGAGGAAACATATGTCTAGTACTATAAACCTAGCCAAATACACATAGCTGGAGAGGTCATAGACCTTAGAGAAAACCCCAAGACTCTCATATCCCTAAACAAATGTAATTTCTTACCATGTGCAAAATATGGATCCTTAAATTTATAGACAAGTATCCCATCAATGTCATTTACAGTCACCACCCATAAAAATAGTTTCCTTTTCAACATACGGAGATTATTACAGAGTTACAACACTGGTCACACACAGAGATTCTCTGTGAATTGCCCAAGCCTAAGTGGCACATCCAGAATGCAACCTCTACACCTAAGACTCATGGAACATAGAACAAAGGATGAAGAGAACACTAATGCATCTTTTAATTCTCATCAGTGAAGCTCCCTCATGCAACAGAGGGCCAGGAACAAAAAAGGTCACAAATGGCCAAAATGCAGAGAATAAGAGTCTGTAGACTTTGGGCCCTTGGATAGGACTCCTGTATTGAGGTCCACCCACCCAGGACTCAAGGTCCATTGAGGAAGAGGGGGTGGAAAGATTGTAAGAGCCAGAGAGGTGGTGTATGACCATACAGAAATGGTCCTACAGGCACCTGGGACCCTTCTCATGCAAACCTACAATAATGGTGTCAGCGTGCACAAGACCCATGAAGACTTAGGCAGACAAAAACCCAGCACAGTACTGTGGACCACAGTTGAAGAATTATTGGCAGCTGATTACTGCTAGCTGAGTAAGAACTCATCTTGAAAGGAGAGACTGTAGATAGGCTGACTAAACCCTGGTGGATGCACTTGCACTGAGGGACATCTTGGGACACTAACTTTACATAATAGGCCTTAATACAAATGACAGAATGTATGAACTCCTGAGGGTGGGGGTATGGGAGGGTGCCAAAGGGGAAGGCAGAAGGAGGTATAAAGGTGATTTTATGTATGAAATACATAGAAATTCTATAAAAATGTATTAAAATATGGACTGCTTTACGAATTTGCTTGTCATCCTTGTGCAGGGGCCATGCTAATCTTCTCTGTATCATTCCAATTTAAGTATATGTGCCCCTGAAATGAGCACAAAAGAAGATACTTTTAAATAAAGTTTTAACCCTTCTAAAATGAAAAAGAAAACAATTTGCCAATATATATATAATCAAAGAGTAAAATGTTGATATTCTAGTTTGAATGCATAATTCTATACTTGGAAAATGTGGTGGCTTGAATGAAAATGTCTCCCACAGGCTCCAAGTATTTGGACATTTTGTCTCCAGATGATGGTGCTGTTTGGGGAGGTCTTAGAAAGTGTGGCTATCCTAGAGGAAGCGTGTCACTGATGGTGGGCTTAGCGAGTTCTTAAGCCTTGCCCGACCTCCAGTTGCTCTCTTGCTTCCTGTGCCTGTGTGATGATGTGAGAGCTTAGGTTCTGCTGCTCCTGCTCCAGCCACCTCCAGCCACCATGCCTCCCTTCCATGATGGACTGTAATTCCCCTGGAACTGTAAACTCAAATAAACTCTTCCTTCTATATATTGCTTTGGTCAGTGTTTCTATCACAGCACAGAGAAGTGACTAATACAGAAAATCTATTCTAGATTTGGAATTCAAAGTATGGGAAACATTTTCTGTGCACATACTAACATGTAAAAATTTATTTATGTAAGAAATCCCAATAAAATCATTGATTCACTTAAGTGAAATGGTTGTTTTGGATTGTCATCAGTGTCCTATTTGGGGTAAAGAGTTAATTGTTCATGTCTCCCCACAAAAAGTCAAACAATACTATCCTAACCGTAGGTGACACTATTGGCTTTAGGGCCAGTCTGAAAAGCGGTGGGGGAGGGGGGGCAAATACCAGCATTTATTGGTCTACTTCTTGACAACAAGCATCTGTTGCCTCACATTCCTCCTGCTATGTGCTCCCTGCAACAATTAATGCTATTCCCCTCAAACCATGAGTCAAAGTAAGTTCCTCCTCCACTTAAGCCCCTTCTTGTCATGTATTCAGTCACAGAAACAGGATGTAAGAATGTCATAAAATGACCAGAATCTGGACCTTTAATTAACCTTACAACCAGAAAACTACTGCAAACAAATTTACTGAACCATGTGCTCTTGTGGCTTGTGCACCTTTGGGCACCTGACCTTGATTCTTGGGAACCAGTTTACTGTTCAAAGATAGTGAATGAATGTGGGTATGCTTGAGAGTGAAGAAATCAAAGTGCTGAAAGGCAGCACATCTTCATTGGAAATATTATTGGGAAGAATGCTTGACATTGTGTGTATGAGATGTTTTAGGCTTAGGGATGAAAGAGCAAGATTGTTAAGATAAAGGTGGATCCAAGCTTGTAGTTCCCAACTGAAGTTGGAGAAATGGTTTTGAATAAAAGTATGGGTGAGGCCTGACTCAGCAGCACAGGTCTGGGAGATATCTGGAGGAATGAGTATCCTCTGAGTTAAAGCTCACTCATAACTAAAGTTAAGAGTCAGCCTGTTTAATGTGGCTTGGTAACACCACATCAAGAAAAGTAATTAATCCAAATCCCCAGCACCAGACAAAAAAACGAGCACTTTTCTAAGTTATTACATATTATTGATAATCAATCTTGAAAGAGTGTAAGACTGAACAGAGAAGCATAACTTGTCCTGGGAAAATATACCAATTCTGGGGATACAGAGCTGGAGTGTTCACCTAGTATGCAGAAGGCTTTACTTTCAATTCCTGGTAATACACACAAGGGGAGGGGAGGGGAGGGGAGAGAGAGAGAGAGAGAGAGAGAGAGAGAGAGAGAGAGAGAGAGAGACAGAGAGACAGAGACAGAGAGAGGAGAGAGAGAGAGAATATTATTAGTCAGGTGTGATGGTGTGGCTTTCTGAGAGTTAAAGGCCTGCCTGGTCTACATAGGGAAGCCCAGGCCAGCCAAGGCTACCTAGTGAGATCTTTTCTCCAAAACCAAACAAAAGCAAGAAACTCATTCACTTGGGAGGCAAAGGTAGGATCACTATAAGATTGAGGCCAGCCTGTTCTACACAGCAAGTTCCAGGACAGCCAGAACGACACAGGGAGACTATATCAACACAGTCTCAACTCTCTTCCCCCTGAAGAATGATATATTTTAAATATTTTATTTATTATTATCATTTTCTGGTCTTTTTGAAACAGGGTCACCCTGTAGTCTCAGCTGGCCTAGAAGTTATTATTTTTATTTTATGTGTATGAGTGTATTACCTGCATGTATGTAAGTGCACCCATGTAGTACAAGGCCTGTGGAGGTCAGAAGAGGGTATTGGATCCCCAAGAACTAGAGTTACAGATGGCTGTTAGCTGCCATGTGGGTGCTGAGAAACTGAACCTGGGTCTTCTGCAAGAGTAGCCAGTGCTTATAACTGCAGCCCAAGAATGACTTTTTTTCTTGAGACAAGGTTTCAATATGTACCCCTGGCTGATCTGGAACTCAACACAGACCAGGCTGGCCTCAAACTCAGGGAGTTTTGCCCACGTCTGTCTCCTGATTACTGGAATTAAAGGCATGCACCATCATATTTGGCTTCCAAAATGATTTTTTTTTGTCTTTTTGAGACAGGGTCTCTCTGTAGCCCAAGTTGGCCTGGAACTCACTATGTAGACCAGGCTGGCCTTGAACTCACAGAGATCTGCCTGCCTTTGCCTCCCAAGTGTTGGAACTAATGCACTACCATGCCTGGCCCAAAATTAATTTTTTTTAAAAAAATATTTTAAAATATTTTTATTTTATGTGTATGCGTGTATTGCCTGCATGTAGGTGAATGCACCCATGTTGTGCAGTGCCCACAGAGGACAGAAGAGGCTGTCGGATCTTCTGGAACTGGATTTACAGACAGTTGTCAGCTGCCATGTGGGTGCTGAGACTCAAACCCGGATCTTCTGCAAGAACAACCAGTTTTCTTAACCACTGAGCCATCTCTCCAGCCCCCATAATGATTTATTTCTATAAATACAACTAATCGTGACTGTAAAGACAATATGATTATATTTCAACATAAATTCCTAACGTTTATTTTCCACTTTTGTCCTTTTAGACCTTTTTGTGTGTGTGATGGTGACGTGGACTGATCGAACCCAGACCCTCACGAAAGCTTGGAAGTGCTGTATTACTGAACTACTCCTCCCCCAGTCTTGTTTCTTTGATGTAGCTCCAATCTCAGCACTGAGCAACTCCTCAGAACATAAAAGTCCATGCAACACACACCCAATCATTTCATTCCTGGAATGGTACCATGACACTAACAGAAAAAAATGAATGAAAATTAGTCAGATGAAGAAGTGATCCAGGGCTGGAGAGATAATTACTGGAATTAAAGGCACCACCATATCTGGCTTCCAAAGTGGTTTTTTTTTTTTTTTTTTTTTTTTTTTTTTTTTTTTTTTTTTTTTTGGTCCGGCTGCTCTTGCAAAGGACCCAGGTTCAATTACCAGCACCCACATGGCAGCTAACAACCGTCCATAGCTTCAGTTCCAGGGGATCTGTCACCCTCTTCCGATCTCCTTGGGCACTGTATGCCTGACATGGGTATGCTTACACACATGCAGACAATATACTCATACACATAAAATAAAAATAAACCATCTCTCATAAGTTGGAGAGATGGCTCAGTGGTTAGGAGCACTTTCTACTCTTCCAGAGGACCCGAGTTCAGTTCCTAGCACATGTGGCTCACAATTGCTTGTAACTCCAGCTCCAGGGGACTCAATTCCTTTTTCTGTCTTGGGCAGACACACACACACACAAATCTTTAAAAAGTTTTAAGACTTTTTCTATACTGATGCTGGCACTCCCCATCCTATTTCATCTTTATAGAAATCACTCAGTTATATAATTTTAGTGTAGACAGCAGTGTTGGAAGGAAAGATAATTTCTCTTCTATCCCTTTGGTAACTTCAGCTTGGGCTAAGCACTAAGTAGATACAACTTAGCAGGTGGAAAATACTACTTGTAGTAGCAGCAGTAGTAATAGAGGTGCTGGAGCTCAAACCCAAGTCACTACTGACTACTTCCTAGTCTGTTCATTTTTAACAATTAAAAAAGTATTTTATTATATTTTATTTTATATTATGTATGAGTGTATTGCCTACATGTGTGTAAGTGCACCCATGTCATGCAATGCCCAAGGAGGTCAGAAGAGGGCATTGAATCCCCTGGAACTGGAGTTAAAGACAGTTGTTAGCCATCATGTGGGTACTGGGAATCAAACCCGGGTCCTCTGCAAGACCAGGCAGCGCTCTTAATCGCTGAGTCATCTTTCTAGCCACCATTTTTAATAATTAAAAAAAATGTGTGTGCATGTGTGTGTATCCAGGTACACACAGGCCACAGCACACATGTGGAGCCAGAGACAACTTTCAGGAGCCAGTTCCCTCCTTCCATCTTGTTCAGGTAGAGTCTCTCTTGCTTCTGCTGCTATGTAGCACACTCCAGACTCACTGGCCTTCAAGTTCCCAGGCCATTCTGTCTCCGCCTGTACAGGTGTAGGGCTTACGTATGCTCACCATCAAATCCTGCTTTTTTATATTTATTTTATTAGGTCTTTGAGACAGGGTCTTCCTGTAGCCCCAGCTGGACTGGAACTCACTAGCTAGACCAGGCTGGCCTTGAACTCATAGAGATCCACCTGTCTCTGTCTCCTGAGTGCTGGGATTAAGAGCATGTGTAACCACACCGAGCCCTGCTTTTATTTTTTTTCTAAATGTGGATTCCGAGAGTTGAACTTAGTTCATCAGGCTTGAATGGCTCGCATTTAAAAAAAACTTTTACAAAAACTTTATTGAGAATTTCATACATGCATATAAGGTGTTTTGAGCAAATCCATGCCCACTCCCTCCCCTCCAACATTCCCCCCTCTGAAGAGGTAACCCTAAAATCTTTTAAGAACTAGATACAAGCTCCAAAAAACTTTAGACATTTTGACATTTTTGGCCTTTGGAACAGAGTGTGTTGCTAGCAGGCCCAAGGACATTTTGACTTTTAGCCCAGAAACTGGCTACATTTCTTTGGGGTCTTTTTACCCTAATGGCTAGCATTTCTTATCTGCCGAGCCATCTCCTTGGCCCCAGTCTCTTAAAATTTAAATGCACATGGGGACCCTCAAAGAGGATTATGGTCCAAAGAAATGATCAAAGCAGAAAGCTTTTTTTTTTTTTTTTTTTTTTTTTTTTTTTTTTTTAAAAAAAAAAAAGTAGCCCCAGCTGTCCTGGAACTCACTTTGTAGACCAGGCTGGCCTCGAACTCACAAAGATCCACCTGCCTCTGCCTCCCAAGTGCTGGGATTAAAGGCGTGAGCCACCATGCCCGCCTAGAAAGCTATTTTTTAAAAAATTTACTTTTGACTTTTTATGTGTATGAGTGTATTGCCTGCATGTATGTAAATGTACTTCTGTTGTGCAGTGCCTGAGGATGACAGAAGAGGGTGTCAGATCCCTTGGAACTGGAGCTAGAAACAGACTGTCATGTGGATGCTGGGATTTGAACCAGGGTCTTCAGTCAGTGCTCTTAATCGCTGAGCCATCTCTCCAGCCCTCAAAGCAGAAAGCTCTTGAAACTCCTAGGCAAAGAAATGATCCCTTTGCACGTAAACGTTAACACAATGGGTTTCCAGCCTTTCTGTTAGGGGAAGAAAGTTATGGGGATGTCATTTGAAGACAGATTTACCTTATTTAACTACTTCCTCTTACATCAAGTTTTCGTTTTTTTAACTTTGTGGCTTTCTAGGTGCTGTTCTTTCTGTACTTTCATATTTCTGGGATATATATATATATATATAT